TTTGCAGAAGAGTTTCTGGACAGAGGCTTCGACATATTTGGGTCATCCTATTAAAGAGTTGTCAACTGCTGTGATTGGAGGTAAAACTCTATTGGAAGATAGGTCTGGTAGTGTCACTTTGGTTGAGGCTTCGATGAGGAAGCCAATTGACTCTCAGCAGACGGAGAGTTTTGGACAGACCTTAGAGGTATCACAGCGGGTGGAGACTGATGCTACTCCACATTGGGTGAGGATTTTTCCACATACTCCAGGTCATTCTGCATTGGTTGGGATTCCAGCTGAGGTGACATAGCGTGGAAGTCATTTGGATTCGGATGCAGATGATGAGTTGGGTTTTGACTCGAGTGCAGCTGATAGAGGCAGTTTGGATATGACCATTGGTTCACCTCAGGTGGAGGTGTTTGAGGCCATTGGAGGTGCTATCAGCCGCAGAGTTGATGATATAGGAGAAGGGTTACGAACTCTTCTATTGGATTGAGGTCGTTCGCGGCCGTTTGGGTGAACTACATGAAGGCTTGATTCCTTGGGCAAGAGGATACGTAGGCAGTCTTTATGATGCAGCCGATTTGGTGAGCGACATCGACATTTGGGGTGAGTGTTCGCACTCCCATTTGGGTCTCAGCAAGTGAGGCATTTGGTGTAGTCGGTGTAGGCTCAGTTGTTTGGTGAGTAGACACAGTTGGTTTAGGATTGAGTGTTCGCACTCCCGTTTGGATCTCGACGTGTTGTGATTGGAGTCCGTTGTCATGAGTCCGTTGCCATGGCATACTGGGTGCAACAGTTGAGGTATTGGTTTGATCGGTGTCGGCTCAGTTTGGTAGAATCTTCGCCGAGGTGGAGATTTGAAGAGATGGTGCTCAGGATTAGGTTTTCAGGCAAACAGGTTGACGGTCCACCTGGTACGGTCGACCGCATTCGTGCACAGGAGTTTCTGGGCATCAGGATTGGTGGGGGGGGGGGGAAGTACAGTTGGCCTTTTCTTTCTTTGGCGGCTGCACAGTAGCGAGGCAGAGCAAGGTGGATTCTTTTTCGGCGGCTTTGTTTCTTGGAGAAAACACAGCAAAGAAAAAGGGTTTTGTGAAGAGAGAGAAAATATTTGGAGGCTGACCTTTTCTTGTGAAGAAAAGCAAGGAGCCTATTTGAGGGTTTAGATTGTGAGAGTTGTAAACCCATTGTATTCTTTTTCTCTTTAATAGTAGATCTCCCTCTCCTTGCCCCGTGGACGTAGGCAGTTTGCCGAACCACGTAAAATTGGTTTGTTTGAGTTTGTGGTCATTGTAATAGTTTTTTAGGATCCCTCGACGCGCAGTCCTAGAGCTGACGAGAGGAAGAGCAAATATCCCACTTTGATGGGATATTAGGCTTTCAGATTCTTGTTCCCTTTGAGAAACAAGAATTCTTATCGATCTTTCTCTCTTATTGTGCACCAGAAACTCTGCCGAAATTTCCGCTGCGCACAACACCCTGGAGGCCTTGTAGACTGATTTTTTACATTTTTTATGGCTGTGAATTTTTCTAAGAAAATCTACATAGGGTGGATGTTAACACAATATACACTTTCAGGATTAGGGGCTCTGAGGGTCCAAATTTCATACTAAAAAGCTATCATCTAGGAGAAAATTCTCAGAAACTAGCAGCATCATCACTCATCATTTATTAAGAAAGATGGTACATAGTGTTATGGAGTTCAGTCAAGATTGTGTGCGCTTTATTTTTTCTGTTTTGTTGTACTAATTATCTTTGTTCCGATAATTCCTATGACATCATTCCAAGTTAATGCACGTATTTAACTGTGTCAAGTCGTTTGTTAATTTTAGTGAAAACAATTTTCCCTTCCTTCTATATATCCAATCATCTTCTTTTATTTTCCTTCCTTCTATATATCCAAACCGAACAAAGCCTTTGTGTTTCTTAATTATAAAATTCCTATCACCTCGTTTGGTGAAAACATTTTCCCCTTCATACCCGTTGTGGGCTTCACTATTCCGAAATGGCTTGCATGCATACATTGTTTATTCAAAGTTTATGGCTGCGTTCCAGGTTTTCAATATTCCTCCCAATAACTATCTAACACTTTAGACCATACGTACTTACGTTGCTTGATCGCTCCTTTCCTCTTAAACTTGCACAACATAAACAGCAGGAGTTTAAATTTTATGTCTGTTAACTTTGATTTCTAAGCCTTTTGGGCCCATCTCTCCTTTTGTATTGCAAAACTACTGCCCCCATTAGCGACATTATACTTGATGCTGGGTTTCGTTCCTTCGTGAATGCGGGAATGGCCAAGTTGGTCTTAGCCTCAACGGTGAAGGCCTTTTCTTGCATGAGCTCTCTGGTTCGCCTCTCTGCTCTTATTTTTTGCCGAAACTTTTGACTCCTTTTACGGTGCCTCTGTTAATTCCTACTTCATCAGGTTTGTCCAGCCTCTTTGCCCACCAACCAACTATTTTGGCCTCTCATTAAAGTTTTTAGCCTTTTGGCTATCTTAAGGCTTTGACCTTCTCTTCTGTCTCTAGGGCTAAAGAGAGTTTTGTATTTTTATTAAAAAAAAGCTAATTTGAATAGGATAAAGGGTGTTGCTACAAGGATCCAAATAGGGGACCTAGTGCATGGGACAGGTGAGGTGTCACTGGTTGCATGATGCACTGTTTGAACAGTGCATCATGCAACCGGATAGTGACACCTCACATGTCCCATGCCTTGGGTCCCTAATTTGGGTCCATGAGTCATTAATGTAGGATAAATTTGAGAAAAATTCTGGCCTTGAGAGTCCCAAAAAAGAACTCATTCTAAGATTTCTAACCCTAGAAAAAAAACAACCTTTCCTTTATTCCATAACCTTCCCTGGAGGCCTTGTAGACTGATTTTTTTACATTTTTTAAGGCTGTGAAATTTTCTAATTAAGAAAATCTGCATAGGGTGGATATTAACACAATATACACTTTCAGGATTAGGGGCTCTGAGGGTCCAAATTTCATACTAAGAAGCTATCATCTTGGAGAAAATTCTCAGAAACTAGCAGCATCATCACTCATCATTTATTAAGAAAGATGGTACATAGTGTTATGGAGTTCAGTCAAGATTGTGTGCGCTTTATTTTTTCTGTTTTGTTGTACTAATTATCTTTGTTCCGATAATTCCTATGACATCATTCCAAGTTAATGCACGTATTTAACTGTGTCTAGTCGTTTGTTAATTTTAGTGAAAACAATTTTCCCTTCCTTCTATATATCCAATCATCTTCTTTTATTTTCCTTCCTTCTATATATCCAAACCGAACAAAGCCTTTGTGTTTCTTAATTATAAAATTCCTATCACCTCGTTTGGTGAAAACATTTTCCCCTTCATACCCGTTGTGGGCTTCACTATTCCGAAATGGCTTGCATGCATACATTGTTTATTCAAAGTTTATGGCTGCGTTCCAGGTTTTCAATATTCCTCCCAATAACTATCTAACACTTTAGACCATACGTACTTACGTTGCTTGATCGCTCCTTTCCTCTTAAACTTGCACAACATAAACAGCAGGAGTTTAAATTTTATGTCTGTTAACTTTGATTTCTAAGCCTTTTGGGCCCATCTCTCCTTTTGTATTGCAAAACTACTGCCCCCATTAGCGACATTATACTTGATGCTGGGTTTCGTTCCTTCGTGAATGCGGGAATGGCCAAGTTGGTCTTAGCCTCAACGGTGAAGGCCTTTTCTTGCATGAGCTCTCTGGTTCGCCTCTCTGCTCTTATTTTTCGCCGAAACTTTTGATCACTCCTTTTACGGTGCCTCTGTTAGTTCCTGCTTCATCAGGTTTGTCCAGCCTCTTTGCCCACCAACCAACTATTTTGGCCTCTCATTAAAGTTTTTAGCCTTTTGGCTATCTTAAGGCTTTGACCTTCTCTTCTGTCTCTAGGGCTAAAGAGAGTTTTGTATTTTTATTAAAAAAAAGCTAATTTGAATAGGATAAAGGGTGTTGTTACAAGGACCCAAATAGGGGACCCAGTGCATGGGACATGTGAGGTGTCACTGGTTGCATGATGTACTGTTTGAACAGTGCATCATGCAACCGGATAGTGACACCTCACATGTCCCATGCCTTGGGTCCCTAATTTGGGTCCATGAGTCATTAATGTAGGATAAATTTGAGAAAAATTCTGGCCTTGAGAGTCCCAAAAAAGAACTCATTCTAAGATTTCTAACCCTAGAAAAAAAACAACCTTTCCTTTATTCCATAACCTTCCCTGGAGGCCTTGTAGACTGATTTTTTTACATTTTTTAAGGCTGTGAAATTTTCTAATTAAGAAAATCTGCATAGGGTGGATATTAACACAATATACACTTTCAGGATTAGGGGCTCTGAGGGTCCAAATTTCATACTAAGAAGCTATCATCTTGGAGAAAATTCTCAGAAACTAGCAGCATCATCACTCATCATTTATTAAGAAAGATGGTACATAGTGTTATGGAGTTCAGTCAAGATTGTGTGCGCTTTATTTTTTCTGTTTTGTTGTACTAATTATCTTTGTTCCGATAATTCCTATGACATCATTCCAAGTTAATGCACGTATTTAACTGTGTCTAGTCGTTTGTTAATTTTAGTGAAAACAATTTTCCCTTCCTTCTATATATCCAATCATCTTCTTTTATTTTCCTTCCTTCTATATATCCAAACCGAACAAAGCCTTTGTGTTTCTTAATTATAAAATTCCTATCACCTCGTTTGGTGAAAACATTTTCCCCTTCATACCCGTTGTGGGCTTCACTATTCCGAAATGGCTTGCATGCATACATTGTTTATTCAAAGTTTATGGCTGCGTTCCAGGTTTTCAATATTCCTCCCAATAACTATCTAACACTTTAGACCATACGTACTTACGTTGCTTGATCGCTCCTTTCCTCTTAAACTTGCACAACATAAACAGCAGGAGTTTAAATTTTATGTCTGTTAACTTTGATTTCTAAGCCTTTTGGGCCCTCCTCCCTCCTCCGCCACATCCTCCCCTCCTCCCCGACCCCCTCCTCGGTTGGGATCCCAGCTTAATAGAACTGTAAGTTCAAAGTGCATTCTTTTGTCTACTTAACATAAATTCATTTTCATACATATACAAATTTCTTGCAAAATTTTAGTTTCCTTAGCTATTTCCTTTTGTAGACCTCTTGGATTGAGAGGACTGGCTTCCAAGGCGTCGTTTTGCACCCAAGGGAGCTCTCTGTTACTGATTCTGATGACAAGAGCAAGTGGCTCTGGCACTGGCTCATGCTGAAAACGTGAGAAACTCTCTTAACCAAACTTTGTTTTTTGTGACTAATTAAATTGTAGAAAAGCCCCAGTTTTATGATGGTATTTTTTTCAACATAAATTAATGAAATACTCCGAACATCATCATGTTTGTACGAAGATGTTCTAATAAAATTTGTATTTGAACCAATCTATGGGTCAATCCGAATCAATCCACTAATTTTGGGTCCAGGTATAACTTAAAACGCATAGTAATTACTTACAGTATATTTCTATGTCTGAAAACAAATTAACAATGAAAATATAAAGGTAACTCCATTAAGCACTTCTGCAGTTCTATTGTTTGTTGTCAACCAAACAATATCTAATACTAATAAATACTCTTTTCATGCTTCTAATTCTGCAGTCGAGATCACGAGAACATCAAGGTTCCCCAGCTCGTAGGAGATGAAGTATACATCGAGGATTTGTACCTAATTCAGTGCACCCAAAAAAAAAAGAAGAGGAAGAGGGAAATTTGTTTGCTTTAGATTTGAGTTTTGAGTTCATTGTTTACTGCACATTATTGTAGATTGGTTCTACTAAGGAAATGGGATGGTGGGTTGGGACTGTAACTTCCTGATGTATTTTTGTTTGATGAGTTGAAATCATTTGTAATGATAATTTTGATCCAATTAGAGTTCACTTTAGGAGTATTGTTATGTTTCTTAGTTATTCAACTTTAAATAGGAAAATGAGGGAACATATATGTATCACAATTAACCATAAATGTGACAAATAAGCATATTATGTGATATTTCAATATTATATGTGACAATTCAATCTTACATGTGACAGTTCTACCTTATATGTGATATTTAGATCTGATTTGTGATATTTGTTATTTATACGTGATATTTGGGTGTTATATGTGATATTTGGGTATTGCTTGTGATATTTGTTGTTTATACGTGACATTTGGGTGTTGTATATGATATTTGAGTGTTGCTTATGACATTTGTTGTTTATACATGACATTTGGGTGTTGTATGTGATATTTGGGTGTTGTATATGATATCTGGGTGTTGCTTGTGATATTTGTTGTTTATACGTGACACATGACTGTAATTTGTGATATTTGACTGTAATTCGTTGATAGTGACACAATTTGTGATATTTGACTGTAATTTGTTGATAGTGAATGTGTCACGTATAAACAACACAATTTGTGATATTTGACTGTAATTTGTTGATAGTGAATGTGTCACGTATAAACAATAAATATCACAAATAATACCCAAATATCACATACAACAGATATAAGTCACATCTAATAGAGTCATTCCACATGTGCTTATTTGTCACATGATATGCTTATTTGTCACATGTGGAATGACTATTAGATGTGGCTTATATCATATACAACCCATATAACATTGAAATATCACATGATATGCTTATTTATCACATGTGGAATGACTCTATTAGATGTGACTTATATCCATTGTATGTGATATTTGGCTGTAATTTTTTGATAGTGAATGTGTCACGTACAAACAACAAATATCATAAACAACACCCAAATATCACATACAACACCCAAATATCACATACAACATCCAAATGTTACGTATAAACAACAAATGTCACAAGCAATACCCAAATATCACATACAACACCCAAATATAATATACAACACCCAAATATCACAAATCATATCTAAATATCACATATAATGTGGAACTATCACATGTAAGATTGAATTGTCATATATAACATTGAAATATCACATGATATGCTTATTTGTCACATTTACGGTTAATTATGATACATATATGTTCCCTCATTTTCCTATTTAACCTTGAATAACTAAGAAACATAACAACACTCCTAATTTGAACTCTAATTGGATCAAAATCATCCTTATAAAGAATTTCAACCCATCAAACAAAAATACATCAGGAAGTTATAATCCCAACCCACCATCCTATTTCCTTATATATGATATTTAGATCTGATTTGTGACTTTTGAGTATTAAATATGGCATTGAGACCTCATATGTGACGTTAACGTATTACATATGAATGTTAGATGTGTACTTCATCTATAAGATATATTTCTAGATGTACACTTCATCTTGTTAAAAATTGTAAATTGAAGTTTAGAGAGATGTGTTTTGCCTCAAGTGTTGCTCAACGTATTTCAAAATTATTGGAGTTTGCTGCATACAAGTATACGTTCGCCTGTTATGTGTGACATTTACTCGTCTCATGTGGCAATACTCTATTATATGTGACTCTTATCTGTGTTCTGTGATATTTTGTCGTTGCTTGTGACAGTTGTCGTTTATATGTGACTTTGTAGTTAATTTTTATTTGACACACATATATGGTCATATCACTTCTAATGTTACTGAATCTTTTAACAATTGGATTTGTGTGGCGAAAACACTTCTTATTTGTGATATGATGAATCACATTCGTGTGCAAATTACGGAAATGATGAATACTCGCCACGAGATGGCAACAAAAAATTCTCCAAGAAATTTGCATGGAGAGCACTCTTGAAGTCTCACATTCTATAGTTGAAAAGAGGTTAAATCACACTGTAATGTATACATATCACATAACAGCAGCATATGTTATGGATAATGAGTATGTCACACAGAATGTAAAAATATCACATAACAGCAGCATATGTCACACATAATACCAAAATGTCACAGGAAACTATCATATGTGATATACACGCAGCATATGCCACACAGAATGCATAAACATCACATAAAAACAGCATATGTGACATGAAACTGTCATATGTCACATGAAACTATCATATGTCACATAATCAAGTGTAATAAATCATATAAATATTAAAAACTTGAATAACATAGCAAATATCACATATTATCTATAAATATCACATATTGACTATAAATATCACATAAAAGGACACTTGGATATTAATATAGAAAAAAATAAAAGAAAAGAAAATAAGAACCATTACATAGACATTTAGAAGAGGAGAAGCACACCCCCATACCATAACTAAACAAACCAAGCCATTAACACAACAACATCCAAGCAGAACTTATACGAACAGGGTCTTTTTTTCCTCCTCCTTTCCTCTAATCCCTCTAAATTTATTAATCCCTCGATCTCTCAAGATCAACTCTCATTTGTACTCCAGGATCATGTTGTTCCCAAGAGCCAAGCCAATGCAAGCCCTGAGGATGTTCTCCAGCATCGCCCTCTGCTTTGAGAGTGCATTCACTACTGGTGTGCTTGGAACCTATTACAAAAGCACCAAACAGTAAGATAATTAGATGATCAAAAGTTTTAATAAACTAATTTTTAATACCAAACTTCATCTTCAGAGCTCGAGCATGGGAGAAGAGCGTAACGGTAATAACTGGTTATATAAATAAACTTCACAATAGTTAATTTAGTCGATCCGTATTTTCACTTCATTTTCTCTAAAACGGAGTTTTTATTATGGATTTACTTTAATAAAAATTCAATATGAAATTCAATCCTGGCCTAGTTTTTGTCCCTTGGGGTGCAAAACGACGCCTTGGAAGCCAGTCCTCTCAATCCAAGAGGTCTACAAAAAGAAATAGCTAAGGAAACTAAAATTTTACAAGAAATTTGTATATGTATGAAAATGAATTTATGTTAAGTAGACAAAAGAATGCACTTTGAACTTACAGTTCTATTAAGCTGGGATCCCAACCGAGGAAGGGGTCGGGGAGGAGGGGGAAGGGGAAGGGGGAGGAGGAGAGGATGTGGCGGAGGAGGGAGGAGGAGAGCGAGCGGAGGCGGCAGGAAGGGGGAGGAGCGGATGGAGCGAGGAGGGGTCGGGGAGGAGGCGGGAAGGGGAGCAGGAGAGGATGTGGCGCGAGGAGGAGGAGGAGGAGGAGGGAGGGTGAGGGGAGGGGAGGGCGACGGGACGACGCCGAGGAGGGGGCGTGGAGGAGGGGGAAGGCGGGGAGGAAGGATTGCGCGCGACAAGAGGGAGGAGGAGACACATAACGGAGGAGGAAGGGGGAGGAGGCTGCGGCGTCGGCGGTGGTGGGGGAGGGAGAGGTCTTGAGCCAGATTAGGTCAGCTTGAGGATGAAAGGGATTAAGTTTTAAATGGGGAAGAAGGGTAATTTGGGAATGAATTTCTTGGGCTGTGGGAAGAAGGGGTTGGTTGCACTTATGTTTCAATTTAAGGGCTTGGGGGTTATGATTTTTGGGCTGGGGAGGAGGATGCATTGACCAACTTTTTTGGGTTCCTCCAAGCAATTTTCCCATTTAATAATTTTTATCACATGAACAAGAGAAGGTAATAATCATTGTTTCTCAACTACTACCGGTACTTGTTTTTCCTTTTTTTTTTATGGCGTCAATATGGCCATGTGGCTAGTGGTACTTTGCTCAAACCTTGAAATGCAACATTTTCTTTTCTTTTCTTTTTTTTGGCAATTTATCCTTCATTAATTCTGACTACTGAAATGTCATCAAAATGGGTTCTAGATTGATATGTGGTATATATATTTACTCCTTTTCACCTGCGTAATTTTCTTTCCTCCCATGTTTCTACAGCGTGACCATTATGTGTCCAAAATTCCAGTAATAATAAGGATCATACTCGAATGTTCCCTTCCGGACCATTCTGCATGTGAACTCCATTTTCTTCTTGGCCTTTCACCTTTATCTTCCCTACTCTTCCGGTCAACTATTGCTGCTGTAATCTATATATGTTGTGATTTGGCAAGTACTTAATTTCCAAGTGGTAATCTTGATGCCTCATTCTTCTATGGAGATGTCGTTGGATGTGCTCGACTTTTTCGAAAGACCCAATCCAAATTATCAAGCGTGAGGGATAGAAACACCTCCATCTAATACGTACTCATTCTTCAGTGAGATATCACTATCCTAGGAATTAAGCTGATCTCTCTAAATTATTGAGTGCAAGCCATGGAAATTAGGCATGCACACTGGTACAAAATGAGGCATCCTAGACAAAATATTAGTGATATTTGGTAGCATGCTTCACAAATTAATTAGGACCTCGAACATCTCCCTTCTGTTTCTGAAATCCACCAATCAAGTTGCCTGTCCCAATTTATTGAAAACTGTATATATCAACTTTTATGATAAGTTAAGGCAGAACTTTTATTAGATTAATCTTTAGGAATCTTTCTGCTGTAACTAGCTAGCAACTATATATACCTTGACCATATAGTTAGAGTGTGGTGATGAAAGTTTTGGTTGTACACTGTTTATTGAGTTCGCATGTTCTAATTCTCCCGTCGAGGCTAGATCTGAACATTGAAGTGGATCATATAGCAAGTAAGGCTTTAGATATGAGAAGCAGTTCGGGGCGCGAAGGACGACACGCTTTGTGAGATAATACTCGGAAGGTGAAAAGGAAGCTGTCTGTCAGATCCACAAATAATTTATGGTGTCTGATATAGTTGAACTGCAGATTTTTCTA